AGCACAACTATGGAACAGCAGACGCCTGTGGCAGTAGGAAAGAGGAAAGGTACTGAAAGAGACAGTGGGAACTTTGCGCTAAAAGCAAACATAATGTGTAGCTATGCCTGTGATGAGATCAACACCAGATTCCCTAATGGCGTTTTACAGAAAGGTATTTGTCATGTTTTAAGTAAATAAAGTTTAACATTGTGTTTGCAACCAAGTTAAAATAGGGCAGCACTGACAGTTGCTGCAATTGGCTTTACCACCGGGGAGTCATACTGAACCATCAACCACCAAGATAACTGTCATTTTTAAATTACTCGAACTTTGACTTTTCTTTAATGAGTTACATAAGCCCCAGGTTAGACAAACATGCACGTCTTAATTTAAATCACATATTGCTAAACTGAACACAGCCACTTTACCTGTTACCAAGCCACGGTTTTATTCACTACTATTGAGGAAGTTCTCAAGCATTTTCTTCCTTATCAAAAACTTCTGTGAAGAACCATTGCTGAAACACTAGGAACATCACCAAACTATGTCATCTAACCAGTTTAATGAGATCTGTGTGTCCGCCCCTCCAGCCTCGGGTCCTTGCTGCATAACCACAAACACCTACAAAGCATGTTTCATTCCATTCAACAGCTTCAAGGGCAATGCCATAAAACTTAAACCGCCTCTACATGACTGTAGGGAGCCACACTCACCCTTTGGACTCCAAGGACACCAACATCTTCCTCCACCTAGCAACACGGTATTTACTACAACAAACATTTCACACCAAAACCTCCCCGTTACAACTCCGGACAGAGCTTCAGTTCCTTGCCCCAGCAGATACTCATTTTGTGGGTTTGGACAGGTTGATTCCCCTTCCCAAACCCCAGGTTCAAAGGAGAATAATCTTTTTTGCATCTCTGCAAGGAAGGGGAGGATAAAGCTGCTGATGTTTCTGAGCTGCCAGACAGAGCCCAGCACTTCAATCTGATAGAAAAGCAATGCTATCATTACACACATATATTCACATCAAAATCTTCTGTTGCATTTTCACTCTGTGTTTTTGCTCTGTTACAGAAAGAGAACACCAACAGCTACACATCCCATTTTATAAAAATGCCAACTTTAGTAACTCTAAGTACTCTGGATTTTATTCATTTTCTTCTGGTTTATTTTGGTCTCCTAGTCTGTCCCACTCAATGTTTAGAAAGTAACCTGAGCCTCAGAAGTCTGGGTAAGCCCTACATTTTTAGAAGGCTACAAGCAAAAGAGCAAAATAAGAATGGTGTATGAACACAGTCACACAATGAACCCAGAAGACAAAATGTAAACATCTCAATCAGTCCAAATGTATATACAACAGGTTCAGCATCTAAGACTTTTTTTCACTTGCACATAACATATAACATGTAACTTGGACGTAACTAAAAATTATTTCTAGAGGAAAAAAAAAATTAATCTTTTCCTGCAATACAGCACTATAATTATCTACAGACTGTGGGAAAACTAAAAGCACACAGTACAGCTTTCTAGTGTCAAAACAGATTTTGTGGCAGCACCTGGAATGGCCTTTATAGAACCAAAGGTGCTTTTACACAGGAATTTCTAAGGCATCTTAAAGTAGCTGACAAAGCACATTTTTATACGATGTAAAACTCAGGTTATGGAAAATATTGATCATCAACTACCGCACAGTACCTGAACAGAAGAATAATTTCCACTTTGTGACATTTGAAGGTTAAAGTCTGCCTGAAACGCTCTGAAGTTGATACCTTCACCAGATGGTAAAGAGAGGGTTGCCGCCTATTGTCAAGATGTGTAGCTCCAGACAAGAATCCAAACAGCTTCCCAAGCTTTAGAGTTACTGTGGTTTCAGCTACATTCCTCTTTATATTTGAGATGGATGGTCAAGGCCCTTACACACATAAATACATGGGCTGAGCATCCACCTTACATTCCAGTGACCCTTAGACACAAATTGAAATTAAGAGTGCACTGGCAGACATTTTGTCCAGCTTTCGAGAAGAACTATAGGTTCAGGTTCTACTTCCAACAGTATAGGATTGAACAAGGGATATCAAGGAAGCATTTTAAACCAATTTTATTTCTGCTTGTATAATGAGAGTCAGGAATTATCTCATTCTTACCTGACTTAGAGCAAATTACTTCATTTCAAGAAGCACAAAGTATGCTTTCCCTTGTGAAAAAACAGAACTCTCTGCTCAGTGGTTCAAGTGGTACAAGGCTTTTATCCCCTCCCACCTTCCCAAATTCTATTTGCTGTCATGTTAAAGCAACATAATATGCTTTATTAAATGTTCATGATGTAAATCATGAACTGCAAATCAAAGTTCATGATTTACAGCGACACAGCACCTGTGGTGGGCACATACATAGCGGTGGGTTTTCTCCCCCAAAGGCTGCAGTAAAAACCATTTAGCAACATCACAGAACTGCACACATTTGCATCACTCATATTCTTGAGAACTTGGTGAAGGTACAGCCCTACCACTGACACCATCCAACAGATAACAAAAGCCCACACAGCCACATCCTCCAGAAAAGATGGATCCTCCATCAAGAGCCTCAAGTGAGGCTGTCTGCACCATGCCAAGCTCATGGGGGACACAACTAACTTCAGTCAATGTGGGCTGGCAATACAGGGGCAACTGGCAGGAGCAGTCATGTCTGTAAATAGCAAGCCATTCAGTGAAAAAAAAATGTAAAGGAAAATATTCAATCTGGATGAAGAGAAACCAACTGAAAGCACAAAAGCTCTTAAGGCACCAGGAGATGAAGGATTAATGTCCTCAAACAGCTTCCAACCTCAGAAGTCTGAAGGACAAAAGGCAAGACCTGCAGCAGAAAGCCACATAAGATGACGAGCACCGCCTTTTTTATATATATACTTTATGAGGAACCATGCCTGGATACAGATTTTAGATGGCTACACAAAGAGGCTACCACAACCACCAAGAGGCCTCTTGAGCAGCTAACATGCCGAGAAGTCTTTCAGCATAACAAACCAAGATGGATCAACTCTGACTGCAACATGGGTCCTTCCTCAATATTTGCCCCCAACTGGAAGAGAATTCTCCAGAATCAAACCAGTTGGTGAACCCGGCTATTCATCAACCAAGTCTTTTCACACACTTAAACTACAAGTAGAAGCTCAAAGAATCAAAGAAACAAACAAACAAAAATAGGGAGAAAGGAAAAAATTTGGAATTTAAAAAGCAAGAGGTGTGGGAGAGGATTTTAAAACGTACTGGTCCAACCAACAGAGATGTAGGAGAAGGGATGGCAAGTCTGAGGCACAGCGACACTTTCTGAGGTCCCTAATAGCATGCAGACATGTATTTTAGGAAGTCTGCCAACAGCAACCTGCAGAGGTTGTCCCTCTATCACTATGGCATACAAAGCAACAAGCATAGCCTGAGCTGGCAGCCATAAGATGGTTAATACCCACTGCACACGAATTAGAAAACCCCCTACAGTTAAAATTAACTGCAATTGCAAAGAAAAAGAAAATACAAAAGAAATAAGAGGAGAAAAAAGAAACCCAAAAAACTGCACTCTCTCAGACGCCCCGGGAAAAAGCCAAGTACGCTGTTATCGGGGGGGACAATACATTCCCATTCCACAACAGCATATTCACAGTAGTTTTCAATCAACATCTACACAAGTCACTGGGGGGGGAGGAGAGAGAGAAAAAAAAAAAAAATCTGTTTTCTTTCATACAATTCCACAAAAATAACTGTCATCACAACCATCCTTGTGGCAGAAAAGTCCGTATTTCCCTGCAGTGAAATCCGTCTGCAGCTGCCCTGTGGAAAAGACAGGCAATAATTGGCTTCTTTCACCTCTGTTAACCACGAACAAAAGTGTCATTCAGCTCCCAAATGGACAGAAGGCACCAATGGATGGTCAGCTCGCTGAGCCAATGGGCTGGAATAACAATAACCCTGTAGCATTTTCTTTTTCCTTTTGTTTAGTCTTTCAAAGCCCTTAATTAAGACCCTCACAAAGCACCCCTACAGACTTCTTTCAATGAAGCATTACACGCCTGTTTTCTTGTATTTAAGGAAGAAAAGTAACAGGGATTTCTGAAACACATTAAGCAGTACACACAATTTCCATGTATTCACAACTGAAATACTGTTACATTTTAGCTTTTAAATATTATCGTCCATAAAAAGAAGTTCAAGCTTACTGTACCCACTCTTTGCTGTACATCCATTGCTATGTCAAAAACAACAATTAAATACAGGTAGCCATAAATCTGGTGTAACTGCAACAGCTCACCCCAATCTTTCGCGAGCCAGCAGCTCCCAAAACGAAGGCAAGTGGAACGAGGCATGTTGATGCCTGGGCATCCCAAAGCAGGCAGCTGAGAAAGGATGGGGTAACGTAGGGAACTAATTTGTTGCGACTGCACATGACGCACTGGCATTGTCTGAAAAATCAGAGCTGGTGAAGGCAAAGGTATATTCCCTGCTGGGTTTGGTGACCTTCCATACAATTCAGTATCTGCTGTCATTTAATATACATGAAGGTAATCTGTACTCCATTATTCACAACCAAACTGATGGAATACCAGTGTTTGTGTATTAAACAGGACATCTGAGGACTACTACTGCTTTCTGGCAGCACAGGCAGTTGCTGCTGAACAGAAGTGCTATAGAAACTTCCTAGAAATATCAGAGTACACAGCAGCAGCTCTTTTCTTGAAGGTCATTTCCCCCAGCCACAAACAGGAAACAAAACAATCCTAAGAAAACACCACTGAATTATCATCCTTGTAGGTGCAGGCTACTTTGGCCAAACCTAGTCACCATGTCCTTTCCCACCCTAAACCAGCCTCAGCAGCAGGCTAACATGGCCCCTGTTTTTGTGAGGCACCCAGTGCAGTGAAGGGTGCAAGGGTGGGTAAGGAGCATCAGGTACAACTTAGGACCTAAGGAAGCCATCACCAGCCAGCAATGGTCGAACCCCTCCAGCATGATGCAGCCCCTCACCATTGCCTTGTAAATATTCTTGGCCTGTGAAAGGTGGCATCTGGGCAGCTTCCTTGCATTAGACCAGTCCAGAGATAGAAGGTGCAGCCAAACAGGGTCAAAATTATCAGCAGACAAAAGAAAAAACAACAGGCTGAAGCTCTGGTAATCTCCAAAATGCTCTCTTCCCTGAAAGAGAACAGGAATGGCCTTTTTCTCACTGACAAAACCCCACACAACACGAAGCAGGAACAGAACAAAGACATTTCTATTACTAATACCAATCTGAGTGAAGACAAAAAAGCAATGGTTTAAAACCCCCCTCTACACTACCTACATATCCAGCAGGCATTCTTTAACACGCAGCACCTGCTATAAAGGCCACATACATCTAGTCAAAATGCAACGGGGTATAAATCAGTTTAGACCTTTTTTATTATTTTTATTTTTTATTTTTTTAAAACATACCAGCGTTAGCTGCATGTATCCATATGCAACACAGACAAGGAAGAAACTTGCCTTTCAGAAATGGCAATCTAGCAGCAGTACTTGGTGATTTTGCTTTTCAAAGTCAGACTGGCCTATTTAGGTACTACAGACCAAAATCTCTCCTAGTCAGACCTCAGACTACTGAATTAAGGTCACAAGAAATAACACAAGATCATCAATTGTGCTGCATGGACGTTGTTCCTGTTTCCTACTACTACAAGAAAATATGATGTAACTGTACTAAAAGGCAAGAATAAAATATATTTTTTAAAAAAGACAATGTCTGCATGACTTGGTTTTGAAGGCCCAACTCTAAGCACATATTCTTGGAAAGCCTGTTCATGTGCCTTTATGTGCCTTTATCAGAATGTGTTGTATCACTGACCTTGACCATGATTATTTACCAGAGGAGTTCAGGAGGAACTCCTGATCAACAGCAAAGAGAAGTAAGTTAAATTCTGAAAACAAGCATGAAATGTCATTCTGAATGCATCCAATTGTACCAGCCACAATCCAAATTCATATAATGCTGATAAAAGTCTCATGAGAGCATCTGATAAAACTGCAATACAATGTTAATATTCACCACTGCAGTATAATGTAAAAAAAGCAAAACAAGACCCAGCCTCTCCCATGCTACCCCAAAGCCCCAGATACAGCTCCAAGTGCCCAGGACAGGGGGATCTCGGTACCTAAACAGCCAAGGTCTTAAAATACAACAATCAAAACAAACAAAAAAAAAAAGAAAAAACAACAACGAACCCCCCCCCCCAAAAAAAAAAATCCCTGTGAGGCCCTCTCCAGCATGACTTTGTCACTTTGTCAGTCAGGAATCGCATCCCAAACTGGATAGTTGTGCTAACCAACTTTAGTAGTACAGCTGTGGACTTGTGGATTCTGCCCCGACATGAATAAAAATACTACTACTTACCACTGCTGACCCAAGAATATAAACTAACTAAAAATTAGAATATTTCTCTAATTTTCAAGGAAAAGGCATACAAGCAAATGAAGTATTTCACAGAAACCTTCAGCCAAAATAAACCGACAGCCATCACTTGCCATAAGTAAGAGGTCAAAGAAGCACTTATTACTCGTAAATTTCTTGAAAAGGTAAAGTTCTCTCTTTAATTCAACTCTGTTCTCAGTATTTACACAACTACACCTATTTAAAACTGAGTAGATTTTAATCACTAAACTGGCAAGAAAAAAACCTACCACACTTAATGCAAAAGAACATTGCAAGTATTTACATGAAAAACAAAGACCTACCACAATACCTATCCAGCCCACACTCTCAGCAACAGAGATTAAGGCTTGTCAAGTTTAATCATGTACATTAGATCAATTTTTTTATATAAACGCATCTGATGCATGTGTGATGGAAAAGCAAGAGAGCCACAAAAGGCAATCAAGTAATCCACCTGCATTTCTAGCCTGCTTGTAGACAGAAATAGCACATGAATCTTTCCAGCATTATGCATCTTATAGATTAACTCCAAGAAGAAAATTGGGCTTGTGAACCCTTATCTCCTTCTATCTCCACACAACAAACATGGGTACATTTTAACTTCATCATTGCTATCCTCCAGGCATCCATTGCTATCCTCCAGCTCTTACCTAAAGGCCATAGGTCAAAGCAAAACCCTTTCTGATGTATAAACCTATGTTGCAGTGAAGACAACTATAATGGATGCAAGGTGGACAAAGAATACCCCTCCCAAGCTCCATTAATAAAAAGATCTGGTTTTTCTTGTTCTCGCTTGCTTCAAAGAAGTCCGGTTTCTTCTGCCTTGAAAGACTATGGGTTTTACTGAATCAGTAAACTGGGGCCAGTAAAACTTGCCATGCAGCTCAAAACCTGTCTCTAATATGGACAACTGAGTACGACCAACACCCTGTTTTTCTCATTACCAATCTCATCGCATATTAAGACCAACATAGCAATTTTTCCAACCTATCACCAGCAAAAAAGGTCATTATTCCATCTTAATAATAGCACTGAATATTCAGAGGTCCAAGACATGGAACCTTCTGCTACTTTTCATTATATTTACCACAAAATAACTAAATAAGAACAATTTTTATTTACATTTTTCTCTAACAGGTTTACAGTTTATCTATAGTAAAGCTGGTAGAGAAGGAAGCATCCCCATCCCTTTGACGTATCGTATTTTCTGTAGCATACAGGCTGATTAAAGTTGCAGAAGACAAAGCTTTTAGAACTAATTCTGTACTACTCATTCCAAGAAATGATCAGTCTTACCTCCTCTAACTACCATCAACTTAAAATTATTTTAACAATCTATTTATCCACTTTAGTCCTGCTGGTCTTTACTATTCCTGTTTTCTTTCCCCCATGCTATGCATTAGGAAGAACAGCATTAGGAGGAATCAGAAGGATATAACCCTGAGAAATTTCCACAGGATTAAATATGTATTTCTTTGCTATCACAGGAGCAATCAGTCTGGCAGCATTGCATCACATTCATCTCATAAGGAGTTATTCTCTTTTGACATTTAAATAGTGTCTGACTAAACAACAGCTGCTAGTAGAAATGGTAGAATTAATGGATGCCATTTGCTAAAGTCAGTGCCCTTTCCTTTTTAGCTGTCCTGTCCCATTACAGTACCAAGAGGCAGTGTTAACTAGCGCTTTTCCGCAGAGCCCACACCACCTTCAGCAAAGGGAGAAATATTTGGAGCTTGCTAATGCAGTACATCTAGCAGTTGAGTTTCAGCAAACTGAAGTTTAACATGCTATGCAAAAGGTATAAATTATGCTTCCAAGACAGCTCCAGGCACTGCCTTGTTTGGAGTTGCTTACTGAGCAGCTACATTTCTCCAAACAAACTAATGTGCAGAAGGGTAAAGGGCAGTGAAGGTAATTATTGGAAGGAAACCTCTCCCAAGGTCAGCAAAGAATAATTAAGCTTGTGCATGTTAAATCACATAGGGGAAGTGAACACTGAAGTAATCGAGTGTTAAGTGATAGCAAGACCTATCTTCGATCTTTTCGAAAGGAAATTAAGGAAGGGGGTAATCTAAAGCACGACTGTTTAGACAACACAAACGCAGTATCCCCAACCTTCATTTAGAGTTCTTTGCATAAATGTGAGTTATTTGTAAACATACATGTTTCCCCTACATACTCACATGCATAGCACCCCCACAGCAGAGAAAACTTTCAGTAACCCAGTAATTAAATGAGTGTGCTGAAACCTAAAGCAGTTCAACTGCATTCTGCAAGCCTGGATCCAACATAGTTACCTATCGCTCATTAATCTCTCTGCAGATAAACAGATAAAAATGCTTAAAGTACGACCAAGATTTTCAGCTTTTAAGATGCCTCTTATACTTCAACTGCAACGGTGTTTTGGAATCCACCCCAGCTAAATGAATGCAACATACAGGAATAAGTGCTACGAGTTCCTAGTCTAGTCCTTCCTCAAAAGTCCTGGGTTGTTGTGTGAAAACTGAATGAAAGTCACTTGCACAACCCTGAAAAGTTGGTGAAGAAAAGCTGTAACAGAATCTTCTCCTCCTGGACTTCCGAGTTGCCTGTCTGGGGAAAAGAACCTAAGACATGAACCATGCACTGTTGCTGTTGACAAGATGGCAGCAGAACAGGGGTTGTTTGTGGTTTTAATTGCACGCATTCTTGGCTGGTATTTGCTGAAGCTTCTTGGATGACCTGCATATATTCTGTTAAAATATACTATGTACTAACTGCTTTTAAAATATAAAGCAAATACAGAGCAATACTCTGTATTTAAAATATCTGAGACGCTTCAAGGGACAGCTAAACCAAAAAGAGACTACCTCATAACGGCAGGTTAAAAAGCAATCCCATTTAAGTCCATGCTGGTGTGCCTGAACTGCAAAAGGAGAAAACCAAAATCTGTAACATAGGCAGACATTAAGGCTTTCCCAGTAATTTGGCAGATATGAACTGTTAAGAGATCTGCTATCAGCCGCCAAAGACGCATTTGCTATCAGTGCTCTGTTGGGAGAACCCTTCTGTCTCCTTTACCAAACCTTAAAACTTTGCAACTTATCTCTCAATCCATTCAGCAAAGACCTTAGATTAACTTTCAAGTCTGGATATACAAACAGATTTCCATCTATGTACAACAGAGCTAAAGAAATGGTGTCTGGACAGCAAACCTCACCATTATCAGACATAAGGCTTACACTGCAATGCAAACAGATGGCAGGGCTCAAATCCTGAAGTAGGGTGTTACTACTCAATGGGTCTTCCTTCTTTAAATTAGACATGCAAAAGGACTTGCAAAGGACATGCAAAGAAATACTGGAAACGGTCATACATAAAATACCTCTGTAATTTCACTACTGATTCACACTGTGGTTCACCTATTCTCTTAAAATCAGAAGCTACTTTTCAATTTGACATAGTAGTTTAAGAAGGACACCAGCAATTAAAACATACTTCGTACTTGGGATGAACGACCGTAGGCATTACACACTTCTTGTCCTTCTCTGCAACATCACGATGCAGAATTAATGTACTGTCTGTCAAAAGAAGGGGGGAGGGGGCGGGGAAGAGAGAGGGGGTTGATAAATGTACATATATCATGACTACTTTGTAGAAATCTCAGTTCCCCCAGTACCTCTACATTGTGAAACACCAAGCAGGGACTGGTCACACAAGAGCTATCAGTGCAACTCCTGCGTTCAACTAGTGGCTGTTGAAGAGAAGTACTCTGGAATAGGGATAACTCCTCAGTAATGCTGTAATTCCAGAATGCTGCAACAGGGCAGGAAGAACACCCAAGTTCTTATTTAAAGAAAAATACCAGCTAAAGTTCAGGATAGTACCTGTTGCTTGTTTAGCCATCCAACAGAACCAACCCCATGCAGGTGACTCTATACCCATTTTTGTCATGACTAATATTTACTACTGCAAGATTATAGAAACAAGATCAAAGTCCAGCTGTACTCTGAACAAATGCGGTGGGGGTTGGGGGGGGGAGGGGGGGTGTGATGATGAGGGAGGGGTGACAGACTCCAGCCAGCATAACATGGTTTTATCAGACACAGCAAAACAGACACATGCACAAATGTTTGCCAGTATAAAACAGACTCATGTTTTATAGAACACTCAGGGAGGATGATTTTATACTGTCATGGTATGGCAGAATTTCCCAACTTGGTGATCACTTGCACATTACTTATCATTTGAAGCATTTGCTTCTACCCTATCTATTGTGGTAACAAAGTTTACACGGGCAAAAAATTATTAGTGTGGCACAGATATTAAGGGAGCAAGCAGTCAAGGATCAAACTGCACAAAGCTCCTCCAGCCTTCCCAAATGTCTTATCCAGAAAAGCCCAAAGGGCCACAGCAGTTCCATACTAACTGCAGATGAGGAGTGAGCCCCAGGCTGTATCTTCTGCCAAGCACTCGAAAGACAGAGATGAAACAGAAGCTGTCTATTCCCATGGAAGATGCCATAGGACACAGCATTTGCTCAGCAAAGTGACCTACAATGTCAATCTGACTAATAATAAATCAAATCAGACTGGACATCAAATTTGCTGAGCCAAATTCACTGCAAAAACAGCATTAAAAAGGAATATTTTTACGTTTATGTTATCATGCCACTATTCTCTATTCCTCATGGCACTGAATCAGCTGAGACTAGGTGATGCACTATACCTGCAGGAAATGGGGAATATATTTGGCAAAATAAATATCCAAG